CTCTCTCTCTCTCTCTCTCTCTCTCTCTCTCTATATATATATATATATATATATATATAAGCGATCAAATGAAAGCCGTCCTCATTTATGTAAACTATGTAAACCAATCTCATCCATCCATTTTCTTGATCAATGGTCAAGATTAGTTTAGGTTATATTAAGAAATTAAAATAAATAAACTAATAAAGATTTATTTTATAATCCCTATAAGGGCAAAATGGTAAATTTGGTAATGGTTTTATTAATGGCAACCATATCATGTTATATCATTAAAATAGATTCAAAATATAATGAAAACATACCATAATCAATTCTACATAATGAATCCTTTTGAATAGAAATTAAAAAAAAAATTGTATTACATTACATGAACGAAATGGTTTCACGGTTTCATCAATACACTAATCAACGTGATCCTGATCAGATTTTGTCATTTTCATGTTATTGGTAGATGGATCCGTTTTAATTTTGATAATGAAATTGTTTGATTGTTCACTAATTACACAAAATTTTCTCAAAAACTATGAAATGGTTTCACTTTCTTCAATCATCCATTTCATCGGTCAGCATGATTTGATGAATCATTTGTAATTTCACGCTATTGATAATGAAATTGCTTCACTTTTCGCTAATTACACAGGTTTTTCTTATCTTTTTTGAAATGGTTTCACTTCCTTCACGCACCCATATTATCATGCACCCATTTCATGATGCACCCATTTCATGTTGCACCCATTTCATCATGCACCTATTTCCTCATGCACCAATTTCATAATCATTTTCACTTACTCCATGCACCAATTTCACCATTTATGAAACCGGTTTCATGAATTTTTTTATTCTATTACTGATTTCATGGATTTATTAATCTAATAACTTACGATTTTCATGAATCTTGGCAGTAATAAACCGAGACACAAGATAAGAAAATCCAATTTTTAATATTATAATTTAATTAAATATTTAAATGTTACTATTTATAAAATTTTCTTTATTATGTTACCTTAATTAAGATTTATTAATAACTTCTATATTTAATAGAAAACAATGCAAATGACCAATATACCCTTAGGGTGCGTTTGGTACGCTGGACAGGGTGGGACAGGGTGGGACAGGACATGACAGAACACGTTTGTACTACGTTTAGTGTGGCTAAATGTGGAACTAAATGGAACTAAGTTGGATAAGCATGGGACAGACGTGTTCTCTCTTTACCCCTGGAACTAAGTGGAATACGGTCATTTTTACCACACTACCCCTTCCCCCTTTCTTCCCCACATCGCACCCTCCAAAGAGGCCACCCATCACACCCCTAACCTCTCCTTCATCAATCGGCGACCGGCTCCGTTCATCTCATCTCGACGGCGAGTTTCGACTATTGCTTGCCGGCTCCGTTCATCCCATCGACGGCGACCGACTGTTGGTTGTCGGCTCTGTTCCAATCGACGGCGACCGACTGTTGCTTGCCAGCGAGTTCCAATCAACGGCGACCATCTCATCGAGACGGCGAGTTCCAAACGACTGTTGCTTGCCGGCGACCGACTGTTGCGTCTCTTCTCTCCATACTCAGGTACGCATTATCGCCCTCCCTACGTTTGTTTGTTTCTAGCGATAGACTTTTGATTACTCTTTCATCTATTTCGGGGTCGTTTCAATCGATGTATATAAAATGCTTGTAGTTTTTTCTGAGTTTTTGGTGTGATTAATCAGTAGTCGATGTTCGAATTTAGTTTAGATTAGTTGAATTAAATCTGATTGYTGTTCGTATTGATTGTGGATTGGATTGGATCAATTGAGTCTGCTTTTGATTTTTGGTGGTTTGACTTATTTCAGTTCATGTTTGAGTTAAGATTATGATCTTATTTTGACAAATTTGGAGTCAATTGAAGTGGGTTTTACTATTTTTTTGGGGGTTTTTTTGATATTGAAGTTGGATCTTTACTTTTCATTGAGCAAACTGGTGAAAACTGGATCTTTATGTTAAAAGTGGAAAAGGGTTTCTTGAGAAAAGATTGAGGTGAAATGGGGAAGGAGTTTTTCACTTTGGGAAAGAAATTAGGACAAGGGCAGTTTGGCATTACGTTTCTTTGTATAGAGAAAGCTACGGGTGAACATTATGCTTGCAAATCGATTGCAAAGAGGAAGTTGTTGTCCGAGGAGGATGTGGAGCAGAGAAGAGAACGAGATGGATGACGATTGAAAGAATTGTGATTAGGGTAAATTGGTCATTTTAACACTAAACAACTCAGGGGGTAAATTGGTCATTTTAACCAGTTCTGTCATGTCCTGTCATGTCTTACCAAACGCTGAACAGCTGTCCTGTTCTGTCATGTTCTGTCCTGTCATGTTCTGTCCTGTCCTGTCTACGCACCAAACGCACCCTTAATGCTTAAATTTAATTAGAAAAAAATAGAATTTTCCTATTGGTCGAAATTAGTTTACACGGTTTTCATTTGAGCATGCCTTTATATATATATATATATATATATATATATATATATATATATATATATATATATATATATATATATATATACACAACTAATTCAAAAAACAGGTTTGTATCAAGAAGAGAGTCACAAGGCCTAGGTTTTTTCTACCTTGGGTCCAAGACCTTCCAACCTCATTTTCATTGAGCAAAAAAAAATGTCCCAAGTCTTTTTAACACCGACCTAGCTTTGGGTTGTAAAAGGATTAATCGGATTCTTTTTCATTTGAACTTTTCGGGTTTAATCGGGTTTTTCCAATCTTTTTCAAGTCTGGATTTTGGGTCAAGCCTAGGCCCAAGCATGCCCTCAAAATTTCGGCCTGGCCGGTGGGGCTTTGGGAATGGTTCAAACCAGGTTTCGAGCTTCGGATTTTTTGTGCATCTTTAATATCAAGTATGATTTTACATATTGCAGTATTTGTCCATGTTAGTCTTATTTTTGACCAACTAAGTCTCTAAATGCAAGCTTATTGTCATCTTTGAACCGAATAAATTTACTTTTTTTAAGCAATCAAAATCGATTTTATGATTTGTTCAATGAGGCTTTTGATTGAGTAAATAAAAAAGGGAATTGATGTGATGACAAGATGAAAATACCTTTCATTTAACAGAATTTTCTTAAAGAGTCATTAACGAGAGGGGCCAAATACAAACGTTTTTACAAATCATGATGACCATCTTATAATTTTAAAACTACTGGGATGAATGGAGTTATTTTTAACAAACTATAGCGACTATACGTTGGTATAAGTGTTTCCTACCAGTTAACAGTTGCTGGTAAGATTTTTTCTCCTTGCTATGTTGCGTAAGATATCTTAATGCTTGTCATACTCATCCAATAACATGAATAACTTTGTATAAATGCTTATCCGATAAACATTTCATAAACGACCTCTAAATCTCACAACTGAACAACATAATTTTATATGCTTTTAACAAGAAATTACTAAAAATTATAACATATTCGATCTCTTTGGAAAAAAAACTAAAATTATATATCTTCTGTTTTTAATATGGAAAAATTGAATGAAAAAGTAACGTACTTTAAATTGATTCGGATTTTGGGTAACATACTTTCAAAACTTTTATTTTTGTATATAAGATATAAAGTGTTAAGCATTTAAGTACCCAGGTAACTGGTTGAATCATTAACCGGTTACCGTGCTGATGTGGCGAGTGATGTGGTATCCAACTCAGTATTATTTATTATTCAAACCCAATTTCATCTTATCAGTCACCACATTAGCATGTTAACCGCGTTAATACTTCAATCGGGTACTTAAATGTTTAAAATTTTACATCTTAGATATTAAAATGAAAGTTTTGAAATTATATTACACAGAATAATAAAAATCAACTTAAACATAGTTATTTTTTCATGCAATTTCTTATTTTAATGTTACATCATTTTTAAAATATTTCTGCATTTTCTTTCTTTTAACTCTTAAACATGTAAAATCTCATAGTTACCTGTTTTACATCCTAGAGTTTCCCATTGAAGGGGTCATATTCTTTGCCATTTCTCGTAACGTAAATTTCTTGATCTTTCCGGTGGCCGTCTTCGGCAGCTCCGCCATGAAAACCACCGTCTTCGGCACCATATAATGCGGCAACCTCTCTCTGCAAAACTTCAATATCTCGTCGGAGCTCGCCTTTACGTTCCCACTTCCATCTTTATCACCCAATAAACTTACAAAAGCACAAGGAGTTTCTCCCCAAAACTTATCCGGCAGCGCCACCACCGCCGCTTCGTTCACCGCTGGATTACAGTACAACACCGATTCCACCTCCACACTACTCACATTCTCGCCGCCGGTTATGATCACATCTTTTGATCGGTCTTTGATTTCCAAATAGCCATCGGGGTGTATTACTCCGACATCGCCGGTGTACAACCACCCATCTTCTCTCATGCACATGGCGGTGGCGCGTGGATCTTTTAGATAACCCAACATTAAACACCCTCCTTTCAGCACGATTTCACCTTGAGTCAACCCGTCTCGTTTAACTCCGAGTCCTGACTCAGAGTCTAGAACGTTGACTTCAGTCAATCCTAGGGTTCTCACTCCTTGCCTTGCCTTTAAACTCGCTCTTTCTGTCACCGGCAACCGGTTCCATTTTTCTTTCCAAGCACATGAAACCACTACTCCGCCGACCTCCGTCATGCCGTACCCATGGCTGACTATAAAACCTAATGACTCGGTACGGAGGACTACAGCCGCCGGAGGAGGAGCTCCGCCGGTCAAGAAATGAACTGGGTTTTCTAAAGGTTTCGCGTTGGGTGAGTTGGCTATCATGTTGAGGACGACCGGTGCTCCACACATGTGGGTCACGTGGTGACGGTTCACGGCGGAGAAGACGTCGTCTGCGGTGAACTTGTGGAGACAAATGTTGGTACCACCAACGGCGGCCATTCCCCAAGTGAAGCTCCATCCGTTGGAATGAAACATCGGTAAAGTCCATAAAAAAACCGGTTTTTTCAGCACCGGCCAGTCGATCAGTGAATCGACGGCGACGATGAAGGTTGCACGGTGAGAATGTACAACTCCTTTCGGAGAAGACGTCGTACCGGAGGTGTAATTTAATGTAATCGGATCCCACTCATTTTCGGGTCTTATCCACTGGAAATTTTCATCACCTTTCTCCACTAAATCCTCATAAAAGAACTCGACGTCGTTGGTCGCCTGAGAACCTACATTATCTCTAATGAGAACCACCACCGGCCGTGGTATCTCCGGCGGGAATCGCGACACAGCTTCCATTGCAAGAGCTTGAAGATGGGAGTCAACGAAGAGTAACTTCGACTCACCGTGGCGGAGTATGATGGCGATGGTCCGAGCATCAAGACGGGTGTTGAGGTTGTTAAGTACAGCACCGGCCATGGGGACGGCGAACTGAAGCTCATACATGGCGGGAATGTTAAATGCCAAAACGGAGACAACATGTCCTCGCCGGATTCCAATTCCGGCGAGAGAAGAAGCTACCTGAAGGCAACGACGGTGGGTTTGAGACCATGTATAGGTGGTATGATTGTAAACGATGGAAGTGCAATCGCCATAAACAGTAGCAGCTCTATCTAGGAAGGTAAGAGGAGTAAGTGGGCATGAATTTGCAGAGGTGGGTTTGAGAAGATCCATGTGATATACGTACAATGTGTGTGTATCTATATCTCTAACACCCTGAGCAAAACTAAGTGGTCTGAAACTTGTTATAAATGTTGCACTAATAAACGATCTACTACTTATTCGCATTTATGGGGGGATACAAATCACCGCTCAATTAATAAATAAATTCGATAAATAAATTATGTTTTGATAAAAATATAAAAGCATAAAAAGATATTTTAAAAAATTAATTAATTATAGTATTTTAAAATAAATTATTA